CGCACTACACTGTTCAAAAATTCGCGTTTTACATTACAAGACTGAACGACAAATGGCCTACTAGTGATGACGTCATGACTTCAGTGGAGAGGCCTTGTATATAGGTGGTGTTGTGTAAACCCATCTCGGCTAACTGAGATCGCGTTGCACCAACAGTTTACATTATCTAATCTCGGATGATCTCCCATTTTTTCAGATTTATCTCATCAAAACATTGGTGAGAAAGCAGTGACGGAGGAAACTTATGTAGGAAATTTGTTCGCAGTAATTGAATCACAGTTAATTTTGCGCACAATTATTTAAAAACTGTCGTAGCCTGGAAAATTTAGTGTTGAAATTTTTGTTTCTCGGAATAACCAACTGACAGTTCTTTGGGAATCCCATATATATTTTATGTGCAGAATTTTACGGTGGTTATATTATGTATCCGGTATACAAAGAACGCTAGAAACAAGGAGAATCACTATTGAGAATCGCTATTGTATAAAAAGGTAGTCGTCACAAATCGTCTTTTCAGATCTAACCTAACCATTTCAGACAATTTTTTTTCATGTGAAAAAATGTTACTTCCATTGTGAAAACGTTAGTTATTCTTCTTTAATCAAAGTTGTTCAAGGTTGGATCAATTGGGGTTTGTCTTTTCGGTAAAAGATCGTCAATGTCTCGAAACGGTTTTTCCCAAAATTTAAATCTTCCTGAATGGGTAATATTTTAGTTTCTTTTTTTTTTGCGAAGTTCACAAAAGGAAGAAGTCTCGCATTATTAGAGCAGGTATAACTTCTCAAGGAACTTAGAAAAGAGCCTAAACACTTTCAACAAAACATTCAATTTACAATGTAATAGCCATACAAACACAAGACTGAAAGAGATAATAAAAATCAAAGGGTGAACAAATTTTTTTCGAAAATTACAATCTTTTAAAATGTGTAATTTAATTTAAAAATGTATTGTGTAATTTTGAAACGAGAATAACTTCTTTTTATAGATATATTTTCACAATAAGAGAGAGATTTACAATCACATTAAGGAAGACTATATATTACAGTTCTTTAGAAAAATAGAGACGTTTGCGCCGGACGGAACAATAAGAATACGGTTGCGTTGGCTGCGCGGAATACGCGAATAATCAGCGATCGCTAATTAAAATTTACTCGTCGCAATCGCGCCGCGCGTAATTAAACGATTGGAAGCGATGGATTGCGATAGCGTCACGCGTCCAAAGAGGTGCGGGAATCGCGTACGTGAAGAAAATCGTCCTGCGGAAAAGCGTTCGTCTGATATTCGATAATACGCTCGCACATTGCGGAAGGAGAATGGGAGTTGATGAGAGAGAGAGAGAGAGAGAGAGAGAGAGAGAGAGAGAGAGAGAGAGAGAGAGGAGGAGGAGAGAGAGAGAGAGAGAGAGAGAGAGAGAGAGAGAGAGAGAGAGAGAGAGAGAGAG